CTTTTTTCTTTTTGCTTATGTGGTGCTGAGGAATCGAACCCAGGGCCTCAGGCATGCAAGGCAAGCACTCTACCACTGAGCCACCTTCCCAGCCCCTGGAGCTTTCATTTTCAAGCTCAAAGAGCCTTACTGTGAACTCCGCATCATTCATAGGTCATTTGACTATCTGGTAGAGTCTACTGAATAACTCTCTCACCTGAAATTGTTCTGAGCAGAAATGCTCAAGAGATGAAGGAAGAATCTCCTTACTGGGTAGTTTTTGTTTCATTTCCTTTTGGGTTTTTTAATACTGGTACGGAGACTTCAACTCAGGGTCTGGACCCAGTCCCTTAGCTTTTTCACTCAAGGTTGACAGGCTACCCCTTAAACCACAACTCCACTTCTGGCTTGAGATAAAAGTCTCACAGATTAATCCAGGGTTGGTGAATATACTTTGTTGATGCTTGTGTTTCTGAAGATGTTTGTAACAATATATGCCATCACAACAATATATGTCAGCCTTCATGATCAAAAAAAAAAAAAAAGTTTCACAAATTGACCTGGCTAAACTGGCTTTGAAGCTCAATTCTCAGATCTCAGCCTCCGATGTAGCTAGGATTACATGGTCATGAGCCACTAATACCATACTCTTACTAGATGTTTTTTAAGTTAATTGTGTGTTTGTGTGTGTGTGTGTGTGTGCGTGAGAGAGAGAGAGAGAGAGAGAGAGAGAGAGAGAGAGAATGTATGTGCTTGTATATGCCAGTCCTGGGGCTTGAACTCTAACCCTGGGCACTGTGAGCTTTTTTGCTAACAGCTAGCTATTGCTTTACCACTAGAGCCACAACTCTACTTCCAGTTTTTTGCTAGTTAATTAGAAATAAGAGTCTCATGGACTTTTCTGCCCAGGCTGGATTCAAACCCTAGTCCTCAGGTGTTAGCATCCTGAATAGCTAGGATTACAGGCAGGGGCCATTGGTGCCTAGCAAGACTAATAATTTTTTTATTAAAAAGTTCAAAAAAGAGAATCATCAACATGAAAAGATCAGCCAAGGTATAAAGTATAGCAATTAGCATCTTTTATGTAGATAAATCCTTTTGGCTACTGCCAAATAAATCCATTTTCTTTCAATCATCCCACTCACATATTCCAAATAATTCTTTTGTTGTCATTATTTTCCTGTTTGTTTGTTGTAGGACATTCTCAATATGTAGCCCAAGCTTGTCTCAAATATAATCCTCAGCCTCAAGATTGCTAGGAGTATAGATTTACACTATCATTCCTAGCTTTGTTCTCCATTTGTGTATGTGTGTGTTGTATGCTGGTTCTGGACTTGAACTCATGGCCTGGATACTGTTCCTTAGCTTTTGTGCTCAAGACTAGCACTATACACTTGAGCTACAGGTCCATCTCTGGCTTTTTGGTAGTTAATTGGACATGAGTCTCATGGACTTAACTGCCCAGAGTTGGCTTGGAACCCTGAGCCTCAGACCTCTGCCTCATAAGTAGCTAGGATTATAGGCGTGAACTTCTTGGGTCTAATTTTGTTCCTATTCTTAAATTATTTCTTTAAAGTAATAAAGTTTTCACTTTAAAGTATTCTAAAACACTCTTAAAAGTATATGTTGTACAACTATGCAAAAGTAATAAAATTAATTAAAAAGAAATTGTATCTTGCTGGATTTGGATTTATGTGGCACTTTCCTTTTAAATAAGAACATTTATACTTCTACTCATGCTCTAGATACACAAATTATTTAAGAAGATTTTTAATTTTTTCACATAAAAGACTATCCTATTTGAATGAGAGGAAAATATTGTCATAAAATTTATTTACAGTATGCTTCTTTCCAACAGCAAAAGGGCAGTAAGAATTCTCAGTACTACCATGACATATGCTTTAGTATATAATTTCAGGTAATGGGATAAAGTAAGATCATTCTGTCACTAATACATTTAATCCCTGGCAACAGCTACATAAGTCAACATAGGGAATCAGAGAAAGCAAAGGGAATTTAACTTAACTCTGCATGCTTCACTGATCACAGCCTACTTCATACTTAAGTGGAAAGGCCACAGCAATGAGTACACAAAATTTAGATCTAAAGTAGATTTGACTAAAAGAAGTTAAGTGGTAGAAACCTAGTCTCTGGGGACATGGAAACCCTAAGCACAAATGTCCTATTTTGGCAACAGCAGGTGAACAGATGGCTGTAGACAAGGAACATCCAGAAGACTCTGGGTTTAAAGACTTGGCTTTGGTTCTGGCATAGTTTGAGGGAGAGAATGAACTGGCATTTCTAAATCCAACCTGGCCTGACCTGCCTGCCATCTGAAGTCAGGTTCTAAAAAATCAGAGAGAGGAAAAGAGACAATGAAAGGAAAGAGGATAGAGTGTTAGACACAATACAGGAAATAAGGGGAAAGTGTGGCAAACACCTAGTGCCCCTGCAGAAATCCTGACCCCACTTAGAAGATTCAAGCACCAAAGGAAAGACAACAGTCATGGCCCATGCCTTCGGTTTTCACTGAGGGAGGCTGATAACAGGAGGATCAAGGAAGGATGCCAGCTATGCAAAGAATTTGGCATACAGGAGAATCACAGTCCAGGCCACCCAGATGTTATCCCCAAAATAACCAGAGGTTAAAAAAAAGACTGGGTGTGTGACTCAAACAGTAGAGCTCCTACCTAGCAAGCACAAAGCCCTGAGTTCAAACCCCAGTAACAACAACCAAAGAAAGGGAAACACCCCAGAATCAAATGGTTCAGGAAAATGAACATCTTTCTGGAGACACAAGTTCAAAAGAAAGGAAAAGGAAGAAAAGAGATAGTAGAAGGAGGAAGAAAACATACTCTCTCAAACAAAAACCCTTGAGAACAGTCTTAGTCCTCACAGGGAGCAAACCTGCAAGAACTTACATTTTTCCAGAGTTCCCACAGATCTGGGGCTTGTAAATGTCTGGCCTTCTTTCTAATTATGTGGCTTTGTTGTGGCAGTATAATATTAAATCCTTGTGGTATTATAATATAATTATAAATATTATAATATTTAATGTTTCCTAACAAATCCTTATGTGGAAGAACAAAATGAATAAAATACTGTCATCCCTCTGATCCGAAGAGCATCCTCGTTACCATTCCCTATGCATATGAGATGCACATTTTGAAAATGAAGCAACAGACTGTGACCAAGAGAAAAGAAGTCAGCCCACTCTAGAGAAACCTAAAATCATGAGCAATGAAGCTTACAAGGCATAGAAAAAGGAGATAGGCTACCTGACAATGCTGGAAATGCAACTTTGTGACACTCTAGTCACAGAAGCAGTACGCTCATTTCATGCTTGGTCTTCTCAATTTCTCCCATTCAACCCACTCCCTCCCCTGCCCCTACAGCTCACACCACACACGCACACACACCTGACACAGAATCACACTCATCTAGCTAGCAGCTGTACACACTCACTGACCAGGGCTGGTAACTCCTCAATATTTGGTAGTGCTATTTCATAGTGGTCTGGGAATATAACAAGTTTGGCTTCATCTTCATATTCATAATCGTCGCTATTTAAATCATCATCAGTATCTAGATCTGAGGAGAAAACAAAAACAAAGAACAGGAAGTGAGGAAGGGAACATCCCACACCAAGGCAGCACACACTGGGAAAGTCAGAAATTCACAGGATGAGACACCAAAGAAATGACATTTACAGTTTCCAATCTGAAATGGCCCCAACCAGAAATGCCAGGACCTGTCCTCTTCCATAAGCTCTGTGCATTTATTCTGTGGCAGATGCATGAAGAAGATGGGGTCATATCATATAGCCTTGTAATCAGAATAGATATACATGCTAGATTATTAAATTCATAAAGATTTTGCAGAGAATAGATTGTTAATTATGAGGCTTGGGGTCCCATAGCACCTGATTTCACACAAATGGACAGAAAGATAGGAGAAAGTACATGGGCTGGAGAATAAATAGGCCTAATTCAATATGGAACCCAAAACTCAATGTTACTTTGGATGAGTCACAAACTCTAAGCCCTGTAGTTTCCTCATCTTCAGTATTTCACAAAATATACGAAAGAGGTAAGAAATAGTAGACAAATAAGTAGCTGATAATGGTAATTATTATTTAAAAACTCAAATCACTCTCTTTGACTTGTCTGTCTCTCACTCCTGGTCACTGAGACCTTACACAGTAAACTAGAGTGGAATGCTCATCACACAAGCATCTTGTTTCCTCTGCAGAGAATTCTCAGTAAGAAAGATGAGCTTCTCTAGATAGTTGTCCATCAAATCCTCACCATGTGCTGAGTTAATCTCTGCTAAAGGTTAGGTGAAGCCTCAAGGAAACCTCTTGTCACAATATTTACACAGACATTTTGGCCTTGCATTTATAGAGATGCCAGCATCCAAGGTCATGTTTGTGTATTTGTATGTTTGGAACTATGGTGACAGAAAAATTGTTTGGCCTTACACTCTACTTTCATACACAACCCCATACACAAATGGGAAACAAATACATGCAGAAGCATGAGCTCTGTGAATGAAAGAAAGTTCATTTATTGTAGGAGGCCCTGGGGCTATCACCTGTGAACCAAAGGCATAGGTTCTGTAGTTATCTGACATGACTTCAGCAAAAATCTGATATATTTTTGTGCATAAATTTTGCTGTTTAATTCTCAAAAGTGGAACAGTTTTGAACAAAAAGTAAGATACCAAGGATACCAGTAGCTCATGCCTATAATCCAAGATACTCAGAGGGTGAGTCATGAGGATCTAGGATAGAAACCAATGGGCACAGAAAAGGCCATGACTTATCTCCAAGTAACTAGCAAAATACCAGAAGCAGAGATGTAGTTCAAGTGGTAGAGCACCAGCATTGAGCAAAAAAGCTAAGAGATGGCACTCAGATCCTGAGTTCAAACCCCAGTACCAGGATATAAGCAAATAATTTTTTTTTAAAAAAGAAAGATACAATGAAAACAAGGTCTGAACATTTTAATAAAATATTCTAAATATGAAGACTCAAAAAGACTAAAATAAAAAACAAAACAACTTTGCTAAATAACCACAAGAACCTAATCTGGAAAAAAAGGCCATTTTATTAGTTTAATAAATAAAGATATTGTAAAAAATGAACTATGCACCTGTGGGGAGGGAGGTGAGGGGAAAACTGGAAGAGAAAGAAGAGGTGACATTGTCCAAAAGGAAATGTACTTATTACCTGACTTTATGAAACAATAACCCCTCTCTATACCACCTTAATAATAACAATAAAATTCTATTTAAAAATAAAGAAATCAATAAAGGTATTTATTTAAAGGAAATAATTTAAACATAGAAATTTTTTAAAGCATTCCTTATGTTATAAAAACTGAATGCCCAATAGCTAGGATTATGGTTGTGAGCCACAAATGCCTGGCAGGAAAACACATTTTTATAGAAGAATGCTATATAATAAATGTTGACAGGATTAAAGAATCACTATTGTACAATCCCTAGTGAAATAACTGACTCTAGCACAGGTCACCAATGTGTGTTACATAAACCTATGAGGTAGAGATGGATGGAAAAAGTGGAGAACTGAATAAAGAGAATATCAGCTCACAGATTTCTTTTTTAAGAGGAAATAAACTCATTTATTTGTCTACTGATCTAGCTTCAAACTCCAACTCTCAGATCTCAGCCTCCTTAGTAGCTAGTATTACAGATATGAACCACCAATGCCTGGCTTCTACATGTGATATACACAAAACAATATGTTGGAAATGATCTGTACAACTTGGGGGGTGGAGGGTTGGGGAGAGGAAGAGTAGGAGAAAAATGAGGGAAGGGGTAACAAGTTTGACAAGAAATGTACTTATTACCTTACTTATGTAACTATAACTCCTCTGTACATCACCTTGACAATAAAAATATAAAAAAACAAATGCCCCCAATATCTATAATTTAAAAAAACTGGAACCTACATGGTCAAGAAAAAGAATATTTAACCCACTATAATATTATTAAAATAATAGTTATTTAGACTATGCAGAGGTGTTGAAATTATTATGCTCTGTTAATGGTAAAAATGCAAAATTAATCTTCACTCTAAGGACAACTTATTATAATGCCCACAGACAAAAAAGGAAGGAAATTTACATTAAAAATGGTGAATAAGCTTTTGTGTATTCTTAAAATCTTTATCATTGACATAGTACTGTGCACATAACAATGTTGGATCACCAAAGTACAAACCTTTTGGTTTTGTGTATAGCTTCAACTCATGAAAGATGAGATGTCAGGAAGAATATTTTCTGGCTCTTTACTACAGAAAATGTAGTTACTTACTACTATTTCAAATCTTAATGAACTAAGAAATAAGTGAGCAATAAAGTCCAAACAACCTTACTCTCACATTTACAAGCTATGTATCAACCCTGGACAAGTCTTTCCACGTTCACCTGCTCTACAAGTGAGGGATTACAGCTACAGCCCAAGATTGTTAAGAAGACTAAACTAGACAGAGTTCTAAGGCACTTTGGTACAGATCTGGTGGCTCCTGGAGCTCCACAAGTAATAATTGACATCATCATTGTCTCTTTTGCCTTCTCTATGTTCCTAACAACTAAGACAATCAAAACTGTTTCCTCTCTCCAGCTCTGAAGCAATGTTGAAATAAGTTCTAGGAACACCATGACATCATGAGGCATGTTCTATATTATCAACATGTGGAGAACATACGACTTTCAACTGCTCCTAGAGTGCAAGCTCACAGAGGGAGACATATGGCCAGTTTACCTGCCATATCTCAACCTCCTACAAAGTGCCATGCAAACAGTAACCTTTGTACCTAGCTGTGAAGGGGACTTAAACAGCAATAGCACACAGTGAAGTAAAGGGAGAACACGAAAACACTTGCTGTGAGTGATCCTGATGAATCTGATCAAAGCATGCTACATGCATGGATGAAAATGTCACTATGAAACTCCCTTATACAGTTCATTTATACTGATTACAAAAACCAACTACTGTGTTGTTTTATTCATTACCACTGATCTGTGCTTTAAAAAGCAAGACTATTGTCAGGCAAAAAAAAAATTGTTGTTGTTATGCTTCTTGATACTTAAAAGTTCTCCTAAGAATTACACACTTGAGAATAGTGAAAACAATAACTAAATCCACCTTCAGTAGCAAAGGCTGAGCCTATGGGCAAGATGTAATAAAAATGAGTAATGACATATGTATCACAGAGATTCAGATCTAATGATAAATTGGGTAGACAAGCATTGAGACAACATAAAACAACTGAGCTTATGTTTATCTACTCTCTAACTACATACTTTCTTCCATATTATAGTAAAATCAACTGCAGGTAATGCCCAAAATCTATTCCTTTACATTTTTACAAATTCAGTGTCTAGCCCACATGTCTGTTATAACTCTAAGACTTTATGCTATAACTCAGTCTCCAGCAAGTGAATGTTTCACAGTTGTCTTTTATTTTTTTAAACATTTTAATCCAGTATGGGTAACCAATATTTGATTTTGTGTGCATGTGTGCTGGTTCTGGGGCTTGAACTCAGGGCCTTAGTTTTGTCCACTCAAGGCTGGCTCTCTCCTACTTGAACCACAGCTCCACTTCCAGATCTTTGGTGGTTAATTGGAGATAAAAGTCTGATGGACTTTTCTGCCCAAACTAGGATCCTCAGATCTCAGCCTCCCAAGTAGTTAGGATTACAGACAAAAGCCACTAGCATGTGGCCTCTTATGTCTTATGTTTAAGGGAAAAATCTACGATTGCTGTTGAATATATATGACCCACAGCCATAAATATAAATTGACATATTTCTTTAAACCAAGTTGTACATCTCTGAAAACGTTGAGGTGAAAAATCTACAGGACCATCACTGCATGGGGATAGGGCCAAGATCTCCAACTCTAACAACTGGTTTCCCACTGAGGCCATTAACTGACTCTACCCAGATGAACACTTTCTCTGTGATGAAAAGGAGTCCCTTCCCCAGCTCTACATCCAGAATCTCCCTGGGTAAGTGGCCAGGACTACACCTGTTTCCCACAAGAAGCCTAGGCTGTGTGGGAGGAAATGAAGCCCTAACCTAAAGCTGGACTCTGATCCCTTGCTCAGAGTTCTCTCTGCCTGGCCTGATGGTACTGACTTCGTGTAGAGGAGACAAACTGTCCTGTCCTGGATTGCAAAACTGGACCAACTATATTCAACAAAATTGACAGGGAAAGTCCTGAAAGCAGAATATGCTCTCAGAAGTAAATGGTAAAGGAAGTTTATTTGATCCTTCCAGTCAGAAGTTTTCTAAATAGTCCTATTCCAGAATTTTTTAAATAAACTTTTGTTTCTCATGGAGTATGAATGCCTAGACTAAGCCCTCCAAAAAAATGGAATTTAAGCTCCTTGACACTCCCCCTCTCAGACACAAGAGAAATTTAACTAATTTACCTCTATTTGTGAAAATTGGGAAAGGACATTCAAACAAAAATGTGAATAATTAGGACCATTTTCCATGGCATAGCAACAATGTGGCATTTTCATTAAGCATATAGCAGCTACTTACTCATCTGGATAT